CGCCCAGTGCCCTGCCAACTCGCGACCTGGCGGAAATTTTGGCGAGCTCGAGAGTGTTTGTGTCATTTTTGACTAAATGTGTGTGTTTTTAGTGTGTGTTTGTGGTGTAGCTATATAAAGACATTGTGCTTTGTAATTTTGGGAACAACCCCTCATTTCCCAACTTTTAAGTTGGGAAATCCTCTCCATTTTCTCTCTTCTCTCTCCTCTTTTCTTTTTCTTTCTTTTTTATGCTTTGGTTGGGAGGTTCATGACTATTTTTCCGGCGAAATTCCGGCAAGTTTATTTTCATTCAAGTTTCGAGCTTTATTCACTATTTTCGTCCGAGCATGCTATGGGAGAGTAGGTACCTTGCTTAGGCCCCACTACTTCGACTTTGCCTTTCGAATTGTGTGTTTATGCTCATTTCTTGGTTTTTCTTTATTTTTATTGCTTGCTTTTGTGTGTTAGGAATCAATACGTGCTTATCTAGTATAAAGGTCTCGACTTTGTTTAAAGCGTGATGATTTAGTGTAGAAAGCTCGTGTTAGATTACCTAGGATCACTATGCTCGCATGTTTTCTCTTGTTTTCTCTTATTTTCTTGAGTTATGGATACTCCGTGCAACCAATGTCTTGATCTCTCTTTCGATTCTTGCATTTTCATCATTTGCTCTAGTTTTTAGTGTAATTTCATGCAAATCACCCACAATCAAGCGAGTAGAATGTTTAGGACCTTCTTTTTGGTTATGTGACTTTGACAACTAGGTAGTAAACGAAACTCCGAACAGCCTTCCTTTGAAAACGACCCGAGTCGGGTAACTCGGTTACCACATGCCCAAAAACACTACAAACAAAATGGCGCCGTTGCCGGGGAAGGTGAGTAGGACGCCAAGTTTGCTATCTAGTTGTCGTTTGTTTCCGTGTTTCTCTTGCTTTTTGTGGATTTTTCTTGATTTTGCGTGTTTCTCTTGATTATTTGCTTATTTTCTATTTCTCTTGCTTTTTGCTATGTGTGTTCTTGTACATATTGTGTCGTTTTAGTTTTATTTTTGTGTTTTTCGTTTCTTGGTCTCGTGTGCCTTGGTTGTTTTGCTTTTCTTGTGCGAGGTACTTTGCTAGACGAGCTCCGATGGATCCATACGGCTATGCTTATGCCGGTAGCTTGTCTCGTGGATGCCCCGACAACTACCAAGAGGAGATGTACCCGTATGGAGGGCCGCCCTATCCGTATCCGAACTATTTTTACCCGCCATCTCAAGTTGATTTTGATTATTACTCTCCGGGTCACGACGAGACACCTCACTACTACCCACCGCCTTCCAATTATTGTGATGCCACACTTCCACCCGAGCCGACTCGGGAAGCTTCTCCAAGCGGTTTAGACGAGATTATGGAGCATTTGGAGAAGTGCAATCAATCTCTTCGCGCTTCAATGGCTCCCATATCCGAAAAAGAAGAAACCGAGTCCATTGCTCCATCCTCTACATCGTATGAGCACCTATCGGTTGGCCAACCTTGTACATTGGGTTCCGAAGCTTCAATTCCAACAATGGTTGAGCCTACCGAACGTCACCGAGATGTTTTGACGAGCACTCAAGAGGCACTTGCGAGCCTCATGTCGATCATTGAGGAGTTTCATAGTTGGAAGAGCATTCCCATTTCGTCCGTTCTACAAATCACACTCACGAAGTTCGACTCTACCGTTGTCTCTTTTCTTGATTTGGATGCCTCTCACATTTCGCTCGGTAGGTATTGTTCTCTATCGGCGAGGATTATTCGGGAGAGTACTCGGTTACAGGGAGAATTTCGAGCTATGGTGGATAGGTTTGCCTCCTTGAAAGAGATGGGCCTCACTCTCGTTTATGACGGTACGCAATCTCTCGACACGAGTGAGGACATCGACGATTTAGGTGTTAAGAAAATTCCCTCTTTTGACGATCCGGCCGTGCAATCCACACTAGGTATGTCAACTCTCTCTTTCGGTGATAGTGCTTTGAGCTTTGATTCTATTGTTGAGAGTGAGTGCATGGACTTGGGAGTTGATATGGTGTATGGTATGGGAGAAAGTTCATTTGAGGATTCGGTTGTGCCGAGTGGATTTGATAGTGCTCGGGAGGATGATTTTGAGGAGGAGGATGAGTTAGTTGATGTTGTGGTGGATGTTGTTGAGGAGGATTCCGAGCCATTATGTGATGTTGTAGACCCGAGGTGTGCGTTGATTAATGATTGGACTTGTGATGTCGAGTATGACGTGGTTCCAATGTCTTTTGGGTCGTCATTTCGTATTATTGAGGATCGTGATTATTTGGAGGAGTTTAGCGTGCCTACGCCCGTGCTCCCGATGATTGAGATCGATGAGTACGCATCCGATATGATACATATGATGATTGGGATCAATTCGACGTGCTCCACGGACATTTTCATATTTTCGGAGGTCGAGTATGGGGCCTTGATTCGTAAGGAATTATCTCTTCTTGTGGTGGTTGTTGATATCCGTGCTCGGTTTCACAAGAATGGGGGCACGAGATTTTATTGGGCCCGCCTTTGCTCTATTCTCCCGGCCCGTCTACTTTTGGAGAATACAAAGGCGTGGCACGATCGTCATTTATTTTTGGATCCCGGTTGATTAGGTACGTATACGTCGAGCTCAAGACGTTAAAATGAGCGCTTCGTGGGAGGCAACCCACGGTTATTGCATTTTCTTGCTTTTCGCTTTCTTTCGATAATAAATAGCCCCGCAAGCCACACAACACACGGTAATTTCGGAGAAGGAAACGGGATTCGGGGCCGATATTATGTTGAAAATCGGGTTGAAATATGGCAAGGATTGAAATCAGGTCGAAAATCGGTCGAAAATGCTCAAAATATGCCTAAGTATGGAAGAAAGTTGAAATCGGGTCAAAAATATGTTTAAGTATGGGAAAAATGGCCCCAGGCCCGCTCTGGCCCGGGACAGCCCGCACTGGCCCGAGGAAGCCCGCACCTGCCCAGGCACTCGCGACCTAGCGGCCTGCCCCGCGACCTCGCGCCCGTGCGCTCGCGCCTCGCCAGC